TCCATCAGAACAAGTGATCTCCTTTCCCACCCAAGCCCTACCCCTTGACCTTGGAGGGACTAGAATTTCTAGCATCATAGTTCCTAGCTAGGACCCTCTCTGCAGTAACTCTTCTCCCCCTCTGACTTTTCTCTTTCTATAGCAGGTGACTCCAAGGTTCATTTTTCCAGTGGGTACTATCCTACCTGTATTGTTCTGTTTTTCCCTGCCCACCAAGCAAGCACAAGGCTTCTGGGAGACTGGGCCTCTGTAGACCCACTGCAGTGCCACCACTCTGCTTGCCAAAAGTCATTTGATGCAGCAAGTGAGAAAGCAGCTTGAGAGGTACATTGGGTTTCTGAGAGGCACCAGTCTAGCTAAGGCAGAAATAGGCTCTAACTTAATAATCTGCTCATCACACACAGTAAGAGACACCCTGACTTATTCAAAGACACTGTGGGTGGTGCAGAGGATGAATAAGCATGATTCACTGCCATTCTGGCACCTGGGGCATGAAGAATAATAAAACCCTAAGAATTGTAGCGGCCTGAGTAGTAAATTAAGAGATCCGGCTCAGCTAGACTCTAGACATCAATGTTACCATGGCAATAAAGGGCCCTAGCGTTCAGCAGCTATTACAGAGCAGGCATCTAATAGGCTAGTCTATGTCACAGCCAAAGCTCAAGGGGCTAGCAAAGAATACCAATTAGCATATCCATTCATTAGGAGCTGCTGTACACTTCTCTTAATTCCAATTAGTTGTTTGTTTGAACTAACATATCTTGCCTGCATTATACTCATTAGTGCCTTTTAACCACTGGAAATAAGTTTGCATCTTCACAAGGACCTCATAATGTCCCAAGTCTTCATTTTTTCCCCTAGGAGTCTAGGCTTATACAGTCACAAACCTATGGTTCTCCGTCCCTCAAAATGAAAGCATCTCTCACAGTACAACTGTACTCAACAGATGGAAACTCTGTTCAGAAATGTGATGCGCTAAGGGTTCTTCCTGGAACCCAGTGAAATAGGGATCTGGGGCCATTATCTGGACTATTCAGGTCAAGGAAACTCTCTGGCCTTAGCCAGTAAGCCTACTGGACACGTCTGCTGGCCACTACTCAGAGGCTAGCTGTTCGGGAGGGGGAACTTTAGGCACTGGGGACCATACTGGCATTATCAAACTCAGGCAGTAGCTATTCCAGCTTGAAGGACTGCCCCTCAAGGTCCAGCCCAAACCCCACCTATTCTGGGAAGCCTTCCCTGATATTTGCAGCCCCAAATAAGTTTCCCTTCTCCATGCACTTTTAAGATGACGCTCTATGCTGGGCAGCATTCACAGGCAGCCTCAGGCCCTAGGCCAGCCTGTAGTTTAATCACCCATGACTTCAGAGTCTACAAGGTCATGAGTGCTGGAAAGGACTGGGGTTCTAGAGAGCACTCAACAATACCTGGGTGACTCCGATGGCACACAACTCTTTTTTTCTTGGTAATTAAAAAAAAAGACTTTATTCATTCATTCATTCATTCATTCATTTTAGAGAGAGGGGAAGGGAGGGAGAAAGAGAGGGAGAGAAACATCAATGTGTGGTTGCCTCTTGCACACTCTCAACCTGGGACCTTGCCTGCAACCCAGGTGTGTGCCCTGACTGGGAATTGAACTGGCAACCCTTTGTTTTATAGGCTGGAGCTCAATCCACTGAGCCACATCAGCCATGGCCAGATGGCAAACAACTCTTAAGCTCCTCTGTACATGATCTCCCAGAGATTCCCTGAAGATTTAGCCAATCCCTAGTAGAAGTACAAAACTGCTCTTTGATAGCTCTGGGACACATTCCTCCCTCCCACTCCCCCCACAATAGCAGAAATGACCCACAAGAACAAATGCCATAAACTAACCTATCCATAGTAGAGCCAAATATCCCTGAAGAGTGCTACCATCTCTTTCTTTCTTTGGGAACAGTCGGACCCAATCTGTGAGATTGTTTCTGTTCCCCATTAGCAACCATGTGGTTTTATTGGAACAGGCAACTAGGAAAAGGGGCTTATAGAAGCAGCTGCTAACACTTGTGTCCAGTGAGTGGACATACATGTGTAGTTTTAGAGACTTGAATCATTTGCCTTTGGATCTACTGTCACATTCAAAGTCTCTCCTTTCTCCCTCCTCTCTTGCCACTGTAGCCACTGCTGCAATTACAGTCCCACTGGCCACTTCTGGCTCCAGTCTGCTGCACTGTTAACCTGATTACTCTTTTTCCAAAATTGGGAGGGATGTTTTCTCCTTTAGCTAGGGTTTTTTAGTGCAGACTCAAATACAGGTTTTTGTCTTTGAGATCCTATGGGATTTTGTTATTTTATCCCACCCAACAACTGGCATTCCAGAAGGCAGCCTGGGCTATCATCGAAATACATTGGAAATAGCCCTGGATGGCGTAGCTCAGTGGATTGAGTGCGGGCCTGGGAACCACACGTTCCCGGTTCGATTCCCAGTCAGGGCACATGCCTGGGTTGCAGGCCAGTTCCCAGCAGGGGATGCACAAGAAGCAACCATACATTGATATTTCTCTCCTTCCCTTCCTCTCTAAAGATAAATTAAAAATATTAAAAAATACATTGGAAATAGATTAACTATATAGCAAACCCCAAGTTACCTACAGCGCTAGGGAACAAGATAGTCTGGAGAATGGAGTATTTTGTTACCTGAGGTCACATTACTCCAAGTCCCCTTTTGTCCTCCCACCCATGGTTTTTTTCCAGCTTTATTGGGATATAATTGACATAAAACATTGTGTAAGTTTAAGGTGCACAATATGATTTGACACACTTAAACACTGCAAAATAGTTATCAGCATAGTGTTAGCTGACACTTCCATCATGCCACGTAATTACCATTTATATTTTATGGTGAGAACACTAAGATATAGTCTATTAGCAACTTTTAGTATATATAAAATAGTACTATTAACTATAATCACCTTGCTATACAGTAGATCCCCAGAACTTGTTCTTACAACTGCAAGTTTGTACCTTTTGACCAACATATCCCCTGGTAACCACTATTCTAGTCTCTGTTTCTAGGAGTTTGGTGTTTCAAAATTCCACATATCAGTGAGATCACATGGAATGTGTGTTTCTCTCTCCGACTTATTTCGCTTAGCATAATGCCCTCAAAGTCCATGTTGTCACTAATGGCAAGATTTCCTTCTTTCTCGTGGCTAAACAATATTCCATGATAAACAAGTCACATTTTTATCCATTCATCTGTTGACAGACACTTAGGTTGTTTCCATAGCTTCACTATTGTAAATAGTGCTGCCTCTCACTCTTGTTTTTTGAAATCTTGCTAACATGATTTTGCTCTCTTTTCTGGCTTAGTAAGACAAGACCAGTTAACCTGGCCTTTCTTTGTTTGTTTTTTGAGGCTTCTGAGGGCTTCAGAAATTTCACATTTAACATCAGGAATCACATAAAAGGTTCAAGTGGAGAAAGTGTAAGAGGTAGAGCTTGATATCTACTAATACCAGTTTATCCCTTGTAATCTATTTTGCTTTTATTGAACTCCAAAAGAGTAAATGCATTTCTTTTTTTGATACTGGCCTCTTTGTTTTCAAATAAGGGTATTGGAGGAGATTCTGCTAAGGAGGAGTCCCAATTAGTAACAATCTATTAAACGTAGTCTTTATTTTAAATTAACCACTATTGAAGCTATCTGTATCAGAATAGCTGAGATTTGGAATTATGAATAGATACCTAAATCTACCTATCAGTTACCTATCTATGTATCTAAACTATCATGTTATTTTTCTTTGTTCTTTGTTTTTTACTTTCTTCTTTTTAAAAATTCTCACCTGAGGATATGTTTACTGATGAGAGAGAGAGAGAGAGAGAGAGAGAGAGAGAGAGAGAGAGAGAGAGAGAGAGAGATGTGAGAGAGAAACATAGATTGTGCCCTGACTGGGAATTGAACCATCAACCTAGGTATGTGCCCTGAGTGGGGATTGAACCCACAACCTTTTGGTATATGGGACGACACTCCAGCCAACTAAGCTACCCAGTTGGGGCCATTGTGCTATTTTTCTTGATTATGAATATGCCCAGAATCTTAGTATATGCAATATTCCCAGTCATCTGGATGAAGTGGGAGGGGGATGATTTGTGAAGGAAAGATTACAAACTCTACCTAGGCCTTTTAGCCACCCAGGCTCTGGTAGGGTGGATCAAACAACCAAAAATCCTGTACAATGTTCTTAGCTGTTTCTATTAATTATTCTTTAGTTGGATCCCACATTGGCTTCAGGAGTTATATATGTCTGGGAAACTGACACTGCAAAGTTCTGGCTTGTTCCCTGCCCTGATGCTAAGGGATAAATATAGATCTCAACCACTACAGAAATTTGGCCAGGATTCCAAGGGGCGTGTGTGTGTGTGAGGGGCACTGAATGATGGGGCCATTCTGACATGTGGCTAGAAAAGGGATTTTTATTATTTACAAGACCCTCTTTGGGGTGGGTAAGGGTAAAGAAAACCCTGCCTCTAAAATCAGGATTTATAATCCACATTTTCAGGATTGACACAAACAAGGAATATTGTAGGCGGCTTAGTGTGTGTATGTGGGGTGGGGAGAGCAAAGGGAATCTTTTCTGACACCCTAGATCCTTTAGCATGACATCAGCCAGATGAAAAAAGAAAGTTATTCTTAGCCATCTCCCCTCACTCCCAACTCCCACCCACGCCCCACCCCCGGAACACACAGATATCCAACTCTCAATTGAGAAGAACACGACTTAAGATTTCCATTGGGCTCATAGTATCCCAGGCGCTAGAGGAGGGCAGGGGGGTGGTGAGTTGCTCATCCTCGTGACCCAGAATATCTCCCCCTCCCTGTAATGATGAGCTTGCTTTTCTATAGGGCTTTCCTTTGATTCAAGGAGGGGGCCAACCAATGAGAGAGGAGCACATTAGATTATTTTGGGGAAGGGCTCATGCCAGAAGGGTTCACTTTTACTAGATGCCAAGTGGCCCCAGCAACCAGTGTCTCCTGTACCAGCAGAAGCTCCAGAACTTTTACCCACTTGCCTGCTTCTGCATCTTTGCCCACTGAACAGCCATGAGAAGGCAGCTCCGGTCCAGAAGGGCTCCGGCCTTTCCTCACAGTTATCGCTACAGACTTGTGAGTCCCAGGGAACAGCATACTTTGTTGCCTATTTTTAGTGGGGTGGAGTGGGGGTTGTGTAGGTTTTTGCCTGTGGCTGTTTCTCCTTGGGATGAACAGGAACAGGAAGTTTAAGAGACCCCATAATTTCAAGAGTGAACAGTGACTCCCAGCACCCAATTTCAGTCTAAATTTCTGGGATGAAAGAGGAAGCTCCTCTTCCTATGGAAGAAAGATAAGGGAAGGGGAAGATGCCAGAGAATGACAGGAAATTTTCTTGGGAGCCTAGAATTTAAAAAGACCTTTGGGAGTAAAGGTTTTATTCTGATAGCAGGAAACTTAACCAAGAGAGAAGGGAAGGGGAAGAGGAAATGAAAAGCACCACCTAGCTAGACATCATATTTCTAGGACCCCTCATGTAAAGAAAGCTGCTGGGGCTCAGAGCACAGGAGTGACTTACAAGTTAGTAGACACACCAAAGTGAGAATGAAAGTTTTCTCACTTCTAATCTTGTTGGCTTTCCATTATATTTGCGGAATGCAAACCCCAACCCTCTGACACTCCATCACTCATTGTCATCTTGTGTGCCACCCTGCCCTGACCCTGACCAACACACACACACACACACACACACACACACACACACACACACGCCTTCGATGTTGCCATTTATCTCCAGGGTGCATTGCAAATTTCTTTGAACCCAAAGTTTCTTTGCATTTACTTTGCTATAATTCATGAATATATATAAAAAGTACACATAGTACTTTTTTTTAAAAAAGAGGTGTATTCTGAAATCTCCCCCAAAGAGGAATGTGATCTGAGCCCCAGAAAGAAACAAAGCTTAGTTCATTTTTCTTTGGGACTGGCCACTTATTTAATCAGGGAGTTAAATGAAGACTGTCAAGAGCCAGCAGAGGAAAACATAAATTCTTCTAACCTCATATCCACCTACGAAGGGCTTTCCTTAACTTTCCAGCCACAATTTGTAGAATCTTTTTTTGGACATCCCAAAGTCCTTTCCAGCTCTTAGAGTAGTCACAATCTTTAGGGCACATGTAACTGTTCCTTACTTGATTTCTTTTCTATGTAATGTTTCTAAAGTGTTGAATATAATTTCAATGATTTGTCAACTGGTTTGGATCTTCTTGTTTTTTTATTTTTTGTTTTCCAATTACAGTTTACATTCAATATTATGTTGTATTAGTTTCAGATGTACAGCAAAGTGGTTAGACAATCATGTACTATACACAATGGCCCCCCCCCATATTTCCAGTACCCACCTGGCCCCCTACATAGTTATATGATATTATGGACTATATTCCCTATGCTGTATATATATATCTGCTTTATATCTCTGTGACTATTTTGTAAGGACCCATCTGTATTTCTTAATCCCCTCACCATTTTCACCCAGCCCTCCAACCCTCCTCTCCACTTTAAACTGTCAGTCTGTTCTCTTTATCTATGAGTCTGTTTCTATTTTGTTCTGGTTTGGATTTTTCAATGCATCAGGGGGCCTTGCTCTTTATAGAGAACACAATCAAATTTAAAAAGAAATGATTTGATGCAGTGAATAATTGTGTACTAATTTCTTTTTTTAATTAACCAATTCAAATGTTTACAGGGTATTACTCAATGCAGGACAAAAATTTGTCCTTTGCTTTATACTGTTTGTTTATATATTTGTTTATATGTTTATATATTTAGAGTGCTCAAAATGGAGCTACCCTCCATTCTTCAGACTCTTCCCTTTTTAGGGAAACATGATGGCCCTAGCACATACCCACTACTATATCCCAACACACTCACACTATCACTTGAGGGAAGTGCTACTTTGGGGAACTGACAAAAACAGACCCTCTCATTACCAAAGAATCCCCTGATGGATTCCATTAAATAGTTGCACAAAAGCACCTCCCTTGTACATTGTTGAGGTTCTCCTATACCAGCAAGCAGGAGAGAGGAAAAAGATATTTAAAGCTTTTGATTACTGAGGCATCATGACAGCCATGGGGAAATCAGCTCATAGAAGGTTAATTCTTCCCACATGGGTAAAGCTTTAATGACAAGCTATCTTTAATAGGATTATCACGAGAGCTCATATCTACAGATAAGATCAGGCTGAAGCCAGGGCCAGCTGACTCCTCTGTGAAGCAAAAGTGGAGGGCAGGCATATAGGTAACAAGGGGAGAAAAGGAACTTGTTCAGGAAATATAAAGGGAATGTAAATCCCTCCATGATGAAATGTTACATTTCAAATTCTCTGAAATTATCAGTTGCAGTAGACTCTCTGGGGCCATGATGAGTACTCAATGCAGTTCACATCACTGCTGAGGTGAGAGCAATGAGTTCTGTAAGAACATTTCTCCCGAGTCAGGCAGTTATCATCAACAATTGTTCAGTACCCACCCATTACCTAGCTGTGGGCTGCACACTGTGGCGGGACATCAAGGAGAAAGAAAATATGGACCCTGCTCCCTGGGTGCTCAGAATGTACTCCGGGAGGTGAAATGTGTACATATGTTCACACCCAAGTGAGATTTAAGAACATTTATTAATCCATTTAACATTGAGTAATAGAGTTTATTTTCCTAAGCCTTATACTATGAATCCATGTCAGAGTCAGAAATCCTCATTTATAAGCATATATAATATTTTCAGGAGCACAGAATGTAACACATTGTTGTTCTCCATAAATCTGCTAAATCACCTTTACGCACCTGTGCTCAATGTGATAGGGTAGAAACATCCTTGTCCAGGGTATTGAGAGACAAAAGTTCTGAGACTGACAACTCTATTATGAACTTGCTGTGTGGCTTTGTTCTGTTCCCTCTCTGAGCCTCAGATGGGCAAGTGAATCTCCAAGGTCACTGTTAGCTCTGATATGGTGTATGATATAAAGCTGTACATTTTATCAAATTAGATTGTAACTCAACAGTGCTTGTAATCAAGAGCTAGATAGTGCTGGGCAGACTGAATGCTGAGAGTATAGCCTTATCATTCTGTATCACTTTTACCGATTCTGAACAATCCAATTTTCTGAGGCCACTCCTCACTAATGGCAGAATTTTTAGTCAAGTGTCCTCTAAATGGCCTTTGAGGAATTAGGCACGGAGGGGGCAGCAAGGAGCCCCTGGCCTCTATCATTTGACACATCCAACCCCAACAGGTGCACAGGCCCTGCCACTCTCCAGCTTTGGACAGCAGAGACAAGTGAGGGCGACCTCATTTTCTGCTGCTGCAGTGAGCCTTGGCAGACCCATAAACAGCAAAGATCCAACTCTCTGGCCTATGACTGGGAGGCATTTGAAATATCATTTGGTGAAGTCTGGTGTGTTTTTTTTTTGTTCGTTTGTTTTTGTTTGCTTGGTTTAATTTTCTTAGAACCACTCAGAGAAGATTACAGTTTCCAATCTCAAGTAATGGCTGCAATCGATCAATAAATAAATATGTGCTGAGCACTTACTATGTGCCCAGATTTTTGCCTAGGGGGTTTGGGGTGGTGGAGACTAAGGAAGTCTCAGTTGGGGCCCCAGCCCTCAGGTGGTCTGTTCAACTAGGTTAAGGCAGAAAGAGCTTCCAGATCAGATAACGGTCAAAGAAGTAGCAAGTAGCCCCCCACCACTTGTTTCTGTTGGAAAGGCAGTCTAAGTTTTGAGAAGGGGTCCAGCAGTTGGCTTCCCCACTTGATATCTACCCAGGGCTATTTTTAACCACAACTTGGAGTGGTGAGGTGCAGCAGCTGAAAGTGTACTGGGTGTTATGATAAAGCTAGTTTGGACTGAGAATTTACCATCATAGACACAAGTGTCTGAAACTACCCCATCCTCCAGCATTGAGCTCAGCTCTGTCCTGAGAAGCCAGACAAAGTCAAGCAGGAGGCCAAGGCCCCAGGACAGAGTAGTGACAGAAGCAGTCCTAGGGAAAGAGCTCAAATGCTTAAAGCTGATAATAAAATTTGTGTCTCTATGGAAAGGATATTGGATCAAAATGGGTCATATAAAGGATAGTTCTTCCAAAATAACAGAGAGAAAGAAAATACACCTTTTGTAACAATGGGTATGTTTATGGGGAAGTGAAAATTTGAAGCATTTCCAAATATTGAATTATTTTCCATTTATATTTGGCTGGTGGGATGTGCCACTGGACATTTTTTCAAAAGGGGAATTGTGTTTTGTCACTGTTCCAGGACGATCAGGATGAAGTGAACCAGAACTACTTAGCAGATGAAGAGGAAGAAGCAGAAGAAGAGGCTCGGGTGATGTTGGTACCCGATTTGGAGGAGGAGGAGGAAGAGGAGGGAAAAAAAGAGGAGAAAAAGGAGGAGGAAGAGGGTCAGGGTCAGCCAACAGGCAACACCTGGTGGCGGAAATTGCAGATCATGAACGAATACCTGTGGGATCCGGAAAAAAGGATGTTTCTGGCCCGAACAGGTCAGAGTTGGAGTAAGTCCCAGTTGTCCCACTGCCCCAGTAGGGTGTCCTTTCCTTTTGGCTAGATGTCCAGGACTCCTTTACCATATGTTGAATGGGCTTGTCTGCAAAGTTCTCTTAGATATCATGTAAAAGGATCGATGCATAGGGAAATGCCTGGACTATGGGCAGATCCCATCAGAACAAACTCCAAGTAGTTGAAGAAACTTGATTATATATCTGAAATCCACTTGGCTCAAAATCATTTGCAATGCAGAGAGACAGTAACAATGAGTTGTAAAACCACAGAAATTTTTCGAAGTCCCAGCCCTGTCACCTTCTATCCGTGTGGCCTTGGGCTCATTATTTACCCTCACTGAGCCTCAGTTTCCTCACTCACCAAATGACAGGAATAATCCCTGCCTTGCCTCTCTCACAGGATCAGCCTAAGGCTCCAATAAGATGTTACAATGGTAAAGATGAAAGTACTCTGAAAACTATTACTACTTTTGAAATATGAGACCTAAGTCCCTGCTAACCTGACCAAGGATTTATAAAGCCTTATCATTTCACCTAGAAATGCTAGAGAAGGAGAGTCAGGAGACCTGCCCCTGGCCCCAGTTTGTTGGTGCTTTTTGCTCCCATGGTGTACACAGAGAAATTAGGTTTAAAGGGATCATCTCTAGAGATTAAGGCTGAGCCCCCAAATCGCTTGATCAATGGGGGAATCAAATGCCTTAGTATTTCCTCTTTGTACCACATGCTGTCACCACTTTCACTTCACAATTTCCCCAGCACTCCTCTCCCAGAGTCCTACTCACCTCTTGAACTATTAGTGTTGAACCTTCTCCTCAATAGATTTTGCCTATGGTCAAATCCACAGTTGACACACTCTCTGTGCAGCCCAGAAAAAGAGCAGCTTCTGCTTTGGAGAATAAAACAAAATAGAGGATGCCATGGATGAAATAACAGTTCCCTAGTGCCAAGGATCTAGGTTGCTGAAGTTGATGGTCACGCCTTCTAAAGGCTCCTTTGGCTAAGAATTCTCTCCCGTATTGTGCATGTTTCTAATTCAGCTCAGTCAGGGTGAAATAGCCAGTCCTACTTCCTTCACGCCCCCTCAGTTCTCAGCCCCACTCCTGCCCACCCCTCAAGAGCTCAACTGGAACAAATGTACCATTCAGGGAACATTCCGACATTCTGGAGGCTGTAGACAAATTCTGGACATTCACTGGGGCTCCAAATGGGGCACAGCTGTTTCTCCCTTGCCTAAAGAGGACTGGAAAACAGGACTTGTGAAAGGCAAGTGTGATTCTGGGAGAGGGTGTCTCACATTAACCCACAAATAGCCATCCATTGGGACTTCAGTAGATGAGCTGATCCCAATTGATCCCAGGGAGAACAAGTGATAGGCCAGTGAGTAGGGATGAAGGAGGAAGTTTCAAGTTCGCCAGGGAAGATATGGCAGTGGGGACACTGCATAGTAGGCCATATCCAGGCCTCTTGGTAACAGGTCTAAGGACAGTCCGTAAACTCTGGCTTCTTTTGTTCAGCTACCCCTGAGCAAAGGGAATATTATGATACTAAAATATAGACCACCACGCATATGCCTTGCTGCCCTCCTGCTTGAGAACTAGGTGCCTACTGGAGCATAGACAGCAACATGACCAACATATTCACCCGCCTATTATTATATTCTGAGCTTTTCCTTTGGTAGCTGGGCAACCTCTATTCTTAGGGATTACATGTTATTTTATTGGGTACTGACAAGAAGCATATGAGGTAGTAATATTATTATCCCCATTTTACAGATGCAGAAACTGAGGCTTAGAGAGGGTAAGTAACTTGTCTAAAATCACATAGTTAATAAGTGGCAGTACTGGAAGTACTGAGACTCATTGCTAGTGCCATTCTCCCATCTACAGCTTCCTGGTCACACAAGCAGAAAGTTATTTCCAAAGGAGTTTCCTTGTATTCTATTGCTTTCCTTTCATCCATGAAACTGAGTCTTCCAGTCCTCCAGCTTGGCTTCAGCTGTTAATCCATTACTAGGATGGGGGTGAGGGTAAAGGAATGAAGAAGATGGCACAGGGCACATCTCATTAGGACAGCCAGTGAGCAGTAGCTAAGTATCACAGCCACATAGGTGCTGCTGTTTCTTCTCCAGGGACTCCAGCTGAATCAATGTGTTCATAATCCAGTTATGCTTTAGTTTATCTCTTTTATTGTTCTATTACAGTTATCTCAATTTCCCCCATTGCTCTCCTTTGCCCTACCCACTCACCACCTTGCTCCCACAGGCACTCTCCAACCTGTTGTCCATGTTACATTTCCAGTTGGATTACTAAGGATTTTTCCCTCTCCTCCAGTCATTTTTTGGTTAATTTTATTTAGTTCATGGTTCAATTTGAAAACTAGTACTTGGATTTGGCTTTGGGTACAGCAAAGTTGCATGGTTTGTTCCAGTTTCTGGTTCATGATTCAGTTCAAATGTGTAGCTGCAACATCATGTCAGTGTTGTGAGTGGAGCTGAGAGAGCCTCAAGGAAGACTTGAAAAGAGCTTCTCAGCAACAATCTCACTCTTATTTACCTCACACGGTACTGCCTAATCCTGGGCAAATCTAATACAACCCACAGAGGAGGAATTCACACAATTATGCTTCTGGTCCTATAGCAATAATAATAACAATGATGAAGACTGTAATTTATAAAGTACTTGGTATCTTCCAGGCTCTGTGGTATGCTATTTGTATGCGTTATTCAAGTACTATTACTAATTACTCTCATTTTATAGATGAGGAAATTGAGGTCCAGAGAGGTCAACAGCATGTCTAAGATTAAACAGTTACGAAGTAGTAAGGTCAGGATAGGATATAAGGGAGGACTGAATTCCCAATACAGTATTCCCCCCTTACCCACAAGGGATACATTCCAAGACCCTCTAGTGAGTGTTTGAAACCTATATATACTATATTTTTCTTATATATACATACCTATGACAAAGTTTAATTTATAAATTAAATACAGTAAGTGGTTAACGATCATTACTAATAATAAAATGAAACAATTATAACAATATGCTGTAATAAAAGTTATATGAATGTGGCATTATTAAGTAAAATAAAGGTTACTTGAATGCAAGCATTGTGATATCTTGATAGTCATTCTGATAACCAAGATAGCTACTAAGTGACTAATGAGCAGGGAGCATATACAGCCTGGATACCCTGGACAAGTAATGGTTCACATCCTGGGCAGGATAGATCAGGAAAGGGTGAGATTTCATCACATTACTCAGAATGTTGCACAATTTAAAACCTGTGAGTTGTTTATTCTGGGGATTTTTCATTTAATATTTTTGGACCACAGTATTGGCCATTCGTAACTAAAACCACAGAAAGTAAAACCATGGATTAGTGGGGACTACTGTACTGTTACAGATGTAGAGAAGGATATGAGGCAAGTGCTAAACTTATTCCCATTTTACCTGCTAGGAATCTGGGGTGCAGAGATGTTCTGTAATTTGCCCAAGCTCACAGGTAGAGCTCACGGGTACCAAGTGTCAGTAATTAAGGAGTTTCCTACTCCTTCCTTTCTTATACTATGTTAGTGGTTTTTTTTTAAAGCAGAGCCACTTAAACTTTTGCTAAAGATGAATAAGATTTGAAATAAGTAGAGTGAAACTTCGCTTTGCCTTGAGTAGAGGCAAGTCCCATGGAAATTAATCAAAAGCTTGAATTACAGGCTATGTGACAAGAAATACTGTTTCTATCCCTTGCAAATACATCTAATCACTGGAACCAAGCTGCTAGGACTCTTCAGGACACCTGCCTTAATGAATAGTGAAGAATGATTTGTACTTAGGACATCAACTATTGTCCAGAGGACCCCCAAGCAATTTTTCCTCTGCAGTACTTTAAACTCCACTCCTCTTTAATCTTGTTCATGGTCATCATTTGTTCAATGAGCCCTTCCATCAGAAATACTATAAAGGTAAACTGCAATCAGCCCTCTGACACAATTCTCACCAATTTCAAATTGGTGAAATCTGAGTGAACAAGGACAGATATACTGAATCTTGAGGAATTATTTAAAAAATGCCATCTGCTTTGAATTGGTTCACAAGTTCAAGTAAGGAGGCAGAGCTGTTGGCAAGCACTGACCACTTTTACCTCTGATTGTTCTGCAGGCATGATCTTAGTCATTTACTTCTTCTTCTATGCCTCCCTGGCTGCTGTGATCACTCTCTGCATGTACACGCTATTTCTGAACATCAGTCCTTACATGCCAACCTTCACTGAGAGGGTGAAGCCTCCTGGTGAGTGTTCAAATGCCCTGTGTTATCAGAACTTGCTGGACAGAAATCTGCTTGCACAGCATGTTCAGCCTCAATGAACTTTGGCTCTTCCCGGTAATGACTTAGAGATTCAATTATTAAGAGTAAAAGTAAAATGGTACTTGGCAAATTATGGTCCTTTTCATTTTCATTGCCTAGGGGAAAATGGTTTTATGGGAATCAATACTAAAATATTATCCCAAGAATGGGTTAATATATCCAAAACCTGTTTCCATTGCCAGGAGTTATGATCAGACCCTTCGCCCATAGCCTCAACTTCAACTTCAATGTTTCTGAACCTGACACTTGGCAGCATTATGTGATTAGCCTAAATGGTTTTCTCCAGGGTAAGTAAGTTCCTCTGAATGGCCCAATCTCTTTGGAAGGATTATGGGTGGGAATTCAAAATTCACCTGACAGACTCTTACTAACTCCAGCCTATTCTGGTCTTTCCTTACCTTGCATCCCCCTCAGAACCTGTAGATATGATAAAAACTGTTCTAATTTATGGTTGCACATTGCCTTGAAAGCATATAAGCCAACTCTCCAGCAAAATGAGAAGTCCATTGGGGCAGAGAACTTGCCTTCTTTTTTTGAACACCCTACAGCACCTAGTTATGTCATGGGCACATCCAGATGGCTCAATATGATCAATTATTAAAAAAATAATTCTGGGGGCAGGGAAGTAGCGGTGAGAAAAGAAGAGTGTTCTCCAGAACTGGAAGATCCCTGTCTCCTATACTTTCTCAAGGTAAGATAATTCATTTCTTGGAGATGAGCTATCTTGAAGTAAGAGAGCAAGGGTCTTTATTTAATGCATTCCAGAAGGGAGTTAGAGGAAGCATCTCTGGGTGGCAGTCACTCCTACATTTTTATCAGAAGTGTCAAGATGCCTATCTCTATAACATCATCATATTCAGTTTTAGGAACTAACGAATGGCTTTTTGAGAAGCCCTTCCCTATGATGAAATCTGAGGTAGCATCTTGGCTAGGGTAAAACACAGAGTACACAGCCTTTGTATTTATCCAGCTACCAAAGAGGAGCTCTGTTGATTACCTTTTGGTCCCTTTATACCCCCTCTCCCCCACTGCAATCATCACACTTGTCCATGTCCATGTCCTTTTTCCTTTTTGCTCAATCCCTCTACCCCCTAACCTGCCCTCCCATACTAGCTGTCATCCTGCTCCCCATCTATGAGTATGTCTCTATTTTGCTTGTTAGTTCAGTTTGTTCATTAGACTCCATATGAGTAAAATCATATGGTATTTGTTTTTCTCTGACTGGCTTATTTCACTTAGCATAATGTTCTACAGACCCATCCATACTGTAACAAAGGGTAAATTTTTCTTCTTTTTTATGGCTCATAGAATTCCATTGTGTAAATGTCCCATAGTTGTTTTATCCACTCATCTACTGGTGGGCACTTGGGCTACTTCCATATCTTGGTGATTGTAAATAATGCAGAAATGAAAATAGGGGTATGTATGTTCTTTTGAATTAGTGTTTTGGGTTCCTGTGGATATATTCCCAGAGGCAGAATTGCTGGGTCAAAAGGCAGATCCATTTTTAATTTTTTGAGGTATCTCCATACTGCTTTCCACAGAGGCTGCACCAATCTGCATTTCTACCAACAGTGCAAAAGGGTTCCCCTTTCTCCACATCCTCACCAGGACTTGTTGGTTGTTGATTTATTGATGACAGTCATTCTTACAGGTGTGAGAGGGTATCTTAATGGGGATTTAATTTGCATTTCTCTGATGACTAGTGGCATTGAACATCTTTTCATATGTGTATTGGCCATCTGTATGTCCTCTTTGGAGAAGTGTCTATTCAGGTCCTTTGCCTATTTTGTAATTGGATTGTATAAAGTAAAAAACAAAAAAGAGGAGCTCCAGTGAGGTTGCTTTACTGACCTATTATTTGTGGGGGGAAAAAGGCAGCTAGACTAATTTGGTTGGCCTGGCCTGGCTGAAGTGGGGCAAGGGAGGTAGAAGTGGCCAGTAGAATGTACATTGAATTAAGAGGAAAACAATCTCTTACGTGATGGGAAGTGTTATTAAAATGCACACATTTTTCCGTTTAATTTTAACACTGCATTGCAGAGTCTATTGTCCCCATTTGTAAAATGGCCAAATTGAGGCTCAGAAAGGGGAATTAACATGATCAAAGTCTCCCAGCAGTAGAATCAATGTTTAAACACATGCCCATGTTTTTGACACCTTTGCTACTCAAAGCATGATCCAGGGAGCAGTTGCATCAGCACCACCTGTGAGTTTGTTAGAAGGGCAGACCCTCAGGCCCCACCCCAGACATGTTCGATGAGGATCTGCACTTTAACAAGATCCACAGATGATTTGTATAACATTTAAAGCTTGAGAAGTGCTGCTTTTCATAATTCTTTGCTACTGGCATATGACCAGAAATTAGAAACTCAACTTTGTATAAGTAATGCTCAGTGTTATTTGGGGTAAGTCTAAACTTCAGATGCCTCACCTATAAAATGAGGGGGGCTGGGTTCATTCTGAGTCCATGTAATTCCATATTGGACATCATAGCCAAAACAATATCTTTTTTACTTTTAAAATGCTTGTGAGCTCTTACAAATGTACTGCTGAAATCTCCGCTGAAGAAATTCCTCTGAGAAACTAGTAGATGGAGAAATACCAATTCTGACCTGATAACAGAGGTGGGGAACATGAGGAAAAGCACTGTTTTTCCCCCCCTAAGCATAGATAATGTGTCCTATTTTAAATGAATATATCTCTGAAATAAAAATCCCAGAGTATCATTTTCATTCCCATGAGGCCAGGGATTTTGCAATAAGGGTCATGCCCATGTCACATTATTTTTTTATGGAACTATCTCAAGAGAAACAATGAACATGTGATTAGAGAATCTATTTAGAAAGTTATTATTTGAACACAGTTCTTGCTCTAAAACATGATTAAAACAAAGCCTTGAATTGAATGTAGCTTTGTCTGAGGAATAATAAAGGCTTAGCCATAACTAGAATAGATTTAAAATTCCCAGTTGCTTCCTAATAATATCAAACACAGGTTACAACCTGTCTAGATGAGGATCCAGCAGTACATTTGGAGTTTTACCTCTAGTAGATTGTAGGTACACAGTCTCTTCTGAAAAACTGAGCTACTTGAAACATGAATGCATAGGGGCTGGATCTAACAGGACTGTCTGACACTATCATTTAGAACCAAATTAGAAATAATTGAATTAGTAGTAACTTCCAAAGCCTAGATCTATGACATCTAGTAACCCAAAGAGTCAGCTCACACATAGCCCCTTTTAGCTTTCTCCCTAGTAAGTGTACCTTGGACTCATATTGCATTCCATTCAATGTAAAGGGACACTTAAGTAGAAGTGCTTCAGGTTTCAGCAGACAAGATCTCACCCTCTCACCCACTCAGTGAAGACACTATGATTGTCATTGGTTTCTGCTTTCATCCTAAGCTTCTATTTTGCAGTGCTAACTTCCCTCTGTAAAGAATGAAGATCTAGTTTCTTCCTTCTCCTCTTCTTCCTCTCCTTTCATGGGTTCCACAACACATACTTCTTACTCTCCTGCATCAGTGCCTCTCATTGACCTCAAAGGGATATGTCTCCTAGGCTGAACTTAAAGAACTTTAACCCAGGAGCTTTGCTGCCTTATAATGTGCCATGCCTTGGCATGATCTAGCCCGTCTTCCAAAATTTGCTTATGTGCCTACTCCTCTCCTAGAAGTAAAAGAGGCAGTGCTCTACATTTACAATTTACCATATCTGAAAAGAAATGATGAAAAGTAGAAGTTTGCCGTGGATCTGTTCCGTTTATTGCAAGTACAAGCAGGTTTTTATATTTTCATTTTCGGTAGTGATTAACATTTGCAGTACACCATGATCAATTAAGCAGAAAAAATCAATACAAAGGTAACCAGGAAAAATACAAGATTTTCCATAGTTTCAGTTATGTTAAACAAAAGTTGTTTTGACCAGGAGAGCCATTAATCAGAAAATTTGAAATAGCTCTATGTACAGAGTTTGAATGTCTTATTGTTTATTAAAGGTCTTAGAATTTGGCATGGGGCAAAAGGTACGCTAGACCAAGCAGAGGTTAGGAAATTCATTATAAGGCCTTTGTGATGTCTAACTTAGCTATTTATCTTTCTGTCCAAAATGTTTCTCTATGTACTATGGGCTCTAACTCCTTGGTAATTGTTTCTACATGTTTAGTTTGTGGTATCCAACAAGCTTTCCCTGTTTCTTTGCCTGCTCAATTCTAATTAATATATATTCTTGTTCAAGGTAAAGGAGGGGCTGTTACTCCAACACCTTTTAGACATTCAGGAGCTATTTCATTAGAGGGAACTTTGTTCTCTGGTCAAGAAATTATTTTGTACAACTTCATTGGAATTATGCTAATCAATGAACCTGAAATACAAGTGTCGAATAATCCCAGCACCTTTTAATCACCAAAACAAACATGTAAGGAGAGATAGACAGGAAATCCAGCCACAGTTGCCTCTGCCTTGCAGATGCATCTCAGCTGTCCCGACCTTGTCAAGGGACGGTTACTGGGGACGGTTACTGGCCGGCTCCCGACAGAAGTGATAAAGTGACCCAGAAATGCATATCCAAAAGTTCTGAAGGAATGATAAGCAAGGGGGCAGACAATCAAAGTGGGCTGAGGGGACACCTGGAAGGCTTCCCCAAGACTTATTGCTAATGAAGGGCCTTGGGCACCTAATCCCTTGTCAAGGGGCCTAGGGCAGATTTAGGGGGGTTCCTGAAGAGCACAAACAAGCTGGAGGAAAAAAAAAACTAGGGAGGAAGACTATTGAAAACATGGCCTTCCCCTATAGCTCCTATCTAACATGGCCCTTTGCCACCTATACACACTTTAGGTTATAATGACAGTCTTCAAGAGGAAATGAATGTAGATTGTCCCCCGGGACAGTACTTCATCCAAGATGGAAATGAAGATGAGGACAAGAAGGCCTGCCAATTTAAGCGCTCCTTCCTGAAGAATTGCTCTGGCCTGGAGGACCCTACTTTTGGCTACTCTACTGGACAACCCTGCATTCTTCTAAAGATGAACCGGGTATATTTGTCCTTGACACTCTGGTGATGATAAGTGGATGAGTTGGGTAGGAGGGCTCTGGACACTCCATTTCTCCAGGGCTCTGTCTTCACACACTACTGGTTTGGTCATTTTTACTGACAGCATCAGTAATATAAACGATCAGACAAACTATCAAGCAATAATACTTTTTTCTCCTTGAACACTCCCTATTTCCATTCTTCTCCTGCACCCCCAAACCTGCCCCTTTTGATGCCCTCTGTTGGCAATGAGATCCTGAGCTGTTTGGAACAGAGGATGACATTGGGCTGGGGTGAGGGACAATGCTCATATCACAAGAAATGCATTTTCTTCTCTGCTGCCACGTCTTATGTTTGGCAGAGCCTTCCTGGGCACACCCGTCTTGAAACCAGAAAGTTATTTACATCTTTAGAGTTATCTTACTACAATTACCACTGTAAAAATATCAGACACAAGTACAAGGAGTAAGCTGAGTTGCACAGCTCTGAAGATATTTTGCTTTTTTTTTTCTTTTTGTAACATTTCTGAGAAGGTAGAATAGAATTTATAAAAGCCCAATTTTTACTGTCAAATCTGTTTGATTAAAAAAAAACACTGGTTTTCTTTTGATAGATTGTAGGCTTTCGTCCTGAGCTTGGAGATCCTGTGAAGGTTTCCTGCAAAGTTCAGGTAAAGTTTCCTTTTGAGTAAGCATTATTAGCACACCTACTTCGTGCAAAAAGGTGGTTCATCCCTTCCAAGGTTTTACCATGGATGGTTGGCTATGGGTTAGGGAAAGAGTTAATCTTTTTATACCCACACCTCCCTTTAGTAACTTCAGGGCCTCTCTATTTCCAGAAAGCATTCAATTCCTGTGTGTTTGTGCGTGTAGTGTGTGTATGTGCTGATTTATACCTGAGAAAGCCAAAGACTGAACCTCAGCAAAGGGCCACAGCAGGGAACAACAATATACCAAGTCATTAATTGGGATTCTGTTTACACTTTTGCTTTCAGCTCTAATTACTTATTTCTTTGTACTAAACAAACAGCTTTCATTACAATCATTAGTCCCTGCTTTTAAAACCAAATTTCACTTTTTGCAGCAATGACCAGTGGCACTTGTGTTGCAATAACAAATGACTACAAGGGAGTATAAACACAACTCCATTAATATGCTAATTAACTGTCCTTCAAGGGACTGTTAACTCCTATCTCATCTGCCCTAATTAGCTCCTTTGTAGGAAAAAGCCCTAGATCTAAGGTTTGCTTCTTAAATTGGCAGTAGCTCCCTCCTGTTTGACAACATCAGCTGCACCCCTAGCCCTGGACAATTGTCTTGCAAATGTGTGAAGCCAGGTAATGCCATCTCAGTAGTAGAAATACAGCTCAAAACTCCAGTTTTAATGGTGGCAGATCAGAAAACAGCAAAGGCAGCATTTACTGATCACTTATTATACATCAGGTAGGTACTTTACTAGGTGTTGGGAGTGCCAAGGTAAATATGCCATTCTCTGAAATTAGGACAATCAAGTATTACAGGTGCTATGGAAGGTGCAGTGGAGACATTGACCAGGGAAGGTTGGTTCCAGACGGCAGGTGGGGAGGGGTTGGTGATGTTGAAGATGACCTTTGAAAAGTCATGTCATGTTTGCCAGGTGAACAAGGTAGAAGGACTTTCATTCTGTTCACATGTACGTGAGTATGTGTAAATAAATATACACACATGTGAGGTATGACCATACACTAGTAGAATTGGTTCCACAAACCATTCATGAAAAATGAATTTGATTGCCTTTTAGAAGAATATATAAATGAATTGTAAAGACCAACTGGGTCTAAAACCAGTGTATTAATTGGATTGAGTCCTGCTTATAGTTCCCTAGTAGAAGCCATTCATTTTCAGCCTAAATGAAACCTTGCTGAAAACTTTCTTTTTATTAAAAAAAGAAACATTAAGGGTCTTTATGAATTCTATAGTAATAAATACTGGTCAAATCCATACCCACTTGTGGAAATCAAGCAGGATGAGGTAATTACTAGAATAAATTAAGGAGAGTCATTTATACTAAGAATGATATACAGAAGTCATCACATGACCCTAGTGAGTGATTTCCTAGTAGTGATATAAAATTTGCCCCTTATTAGCCCCAGACCTCTGCTTTTTAGGGCAAGACAAATGCATAAGTAGAATGGGCAATCCCCTATCTGTCATGTTATGATGAGGGTAGACTTGTTTATTTAATCATTTCCAGTACCGGGCCCCACTTGTTCATCTTCCTGACTCCACCTATTGTTATTAAGCACTACAGAGAATGTGGTCAGAGACATGAGTTCAGGTGAGCCAATTATAAGCTGTGTCCCTCTGCATCTGATCTGTCTTCCAACAGAACTGAATCCACAGTGGGTAAGTTGTTGTGGGTGGGATTTACTAAACACGTTCCAACTTACACCTGTCTCAGCTCCAAAGTCCAACACAGAGTGCTAAGCCCAGTCTGATTCTTTGGATAGGAGCTGGCATAATAGGTCTTCTTGCCAGAGCAGTACCAGGTACTACAAGTCCTTTAGAATCCTTCTGTCTGGGTTCCCTAGGAGCCAGCACAGAGCCATACTGGGCACCTTTGGCCTCCTCAGTCCAGGTGTTCTAGTCAGTATTTTTTTTACTGAAAAGCCAAAACACAGTGTCTCCCTGGAAATACTCCTCCGGGGATAGGCCTGAGTTGAGCTCTACCCCATTCTGCTTTCATGGTCTTCTTGGGACAGGTGGTTGTGAGTCACACAGTGACTTCACCTGGGGTACAGGTCCCTTTAGCTCAGGATCCAACTGAGTGACCCAGCACCCCACATATGCCTGCTTTTACTTACAGAGAGGTGATGAAAACGACATCCGATCCATCAATTACTACCCAGAGTCTGCTTCTTTTGACCTCCGCTACTACCCTTACTACGGCAAACTGACTCACGTAAGCCTGTACCTCCTTCAGTCTTTGCTGTCAAAAAGGGATTTAGAGGCAAAGGAAATGCTGTCTGGGATCTATGTGAATTAGGGAGCAGCAGGTAATAACAGTGGAATGAACAGCTACTGGCCAAGACCAGGAGCTCACTCTACCAATTCCTATCACAATCACTTCTTTCTACCAAATCTAAAGGAATCTCAGATATTGTGTGGTCTAACTCCTTCAGTTTACAGATGGAGAAACTTGGGTTCAAAAAGAAGTGACTTGCCCAATGTCACATAGCATTGTGACAGAGCCAAGAACAGACAAATCACTGCCATTGTGCTAAATTTTGCCCAAACAATCCCACTTACCTGTTTCTCTTTGGGGTAGTGAAAGCTTCATCTCTAGTAAACACTTGACAGACACTAGTTCTGATTTGATTCATGGTCTGATAGCCAGGAAATCATATCATACTGAGTTAGAATTGGTTTTCCTCAGAGGACAATCAGACATCTGACAGTGATTTATGAGAGAAATGTGTTTCCCCACTGTCCCAGGGCAGAGAGTGCACATCATTTACTTTAGCCATTTGTGACTTGGAATCATGGGATTTACTCTGTTTTCTTTTGGAAGTTATCCTATCATGCACTAAATATCTGATCACTTTCATCCAATTGTCCTCTCACACAGCCACCTCTTCTCACACTTAGAATTCGTTGTTCTTCTACCTACAGGTTAACTACACCTCCCCGCTGGTGGCAATGCACTTTACAGATGTGGTGAAGAACCAAGCAGTGCCTGTGCAGTGCCAACTGAAGGGCAAAGGCATCATAAATGATGTCATCAATGATCATTTTGTGGGTAGGGTAATTTTTACTCTGAACATAGAAACCTAAGAATTTCAGAGGACCACACCCACTAGTTCTTGTTTGTGTTTTATTTTATGTTACCCCTGGTAGCACCTGAATTCTTTTTCTTCAATCAGGACACAGCCAGATGGACATCTAAGAGTAGATCCTCTTTTCCTGCCTTTGACATATGTATAAAATGACATTGTGGGAGCTATTTGATTTTTTAAAGGTGGTCTCTCCTGATGACAAATAGATTATATTAATTTCCTTTCCTCCACTTAAAAGTAAAACACATTCTTGCTGCTAGAAGTCTCACTGTAGTGCAAACATAGCATATGATAAAAGTCACAGTAGCCATGAAGGAGAATTTTTATGATGATTTTAAATTCATTGTGTTTTCTAAAACTTTGTTGATTTTACAGGTGAGATTCCCCTCAACCAGGCTGATATCTAATCTTTTCTTTTTCACCTGCCTGGCAAGGTCCTTACATGGGAATCACTGATCAGAACAACCCAGAGTACATCTAAGGCCACCATACCTAGGGAAGTCTGTATCCAGGGATGCTTGAAAAACTGGCTGCCTTGCAGAGGCAACTATATACTCTTTCAAAGACTAGGGTATCTTCAACTGAGTCAGAAAGCGGTGCTAACTGGATATTGTTCTGATTAGAGATGAAGACTTTCCCTGTGACTTTTTTGGGAGATAGGGCCCACTGCAATTGGGGAGAACACCTATTATGTGGTTGTGTGATGGGTATTTGATTCATTGCTCTGGGGCATAATCATCCAAAGGCAAACATTCCTGCAAACATGGTTGTCTCAGCTGCAGGCAGAGGAAAGAACAAGGAAGAAGATCTCTACCAGCTACTTCTTCTTGTGCTATTTGTTTGACAGTAGCGTGATGTTCTTTGAGACCATGAGGGATGGGTGTATTGACCCCCCAGCTACAGCTCTAAGGATTGAAATCAGAGTCTGCCATCTGATAAATGATAAGACAGAAAGCTCCTCCCAGCCCATCCTAAATTCAAGGCTCATTAACCACCTTTTCATTTGCTTAAAAATGATATGAGGCAGGTATTTATCCAGGTTGTTGGATCAGCCAAGCTGCTTTGTCTTATCTTTGGCCAAATAACCATTCCACTGCTTCTTAACACCTCCGCCAGGGGGAGGGATGAGACAAGGAGAAGAAGCAAACATTAGAGATTAGCATAGTGTCTCAGGGGTCCAAAGAATGCTTAAATGCTGTCTAGAACCATTCAAAGTCTGAATATCCTCTATAATGTTTACCTTCTTCCCAAACAGGAAGCTGGCAGTCTGGTAGTAAAGACAAACAAGTGAAAAAGTAACTATGATATAATGTGACAAGAGTTATAAAATTAGTATGTGGAAATGCTATTGAAACACGAGAAAAAGTTACTAACCTGAGCTGAGAAAGTAGCAGGGGAAATTTCGCATGCAAAGCCACGATCACAAAAGACTGTGGTGTGTTTGGTTAACTCTGAGCAGTTCATGTCATTGGAGTGTAAAGGCTCAGGGAAAAAGCAGAGAGTGGCAGGGGATTGGGCTAGAAAGTTATGCAGGTACCAAAAGAGGACTTTGAATTTTATCCAGTAGGTGAAAAGGAGTCATTAAAACATTCTAAGCAGGGAAGCTCTGTGATCATATTTGCATTTTAGAAAGAGCACTTTGGCAGCCACAATGTGAAGGGTGGATTGGAGAGGGATAAGAGTGGGAAATGGGCAATGAGGGAGAAGGAGGAGTCAAGAATGACTCCAAGGTTTGACCCCCCAGCTTGGTCAAACCTTGGAGTCATTCATCCCACTGGCTCTAGCCAGTGGGATGATGATAATGTTGATCAAGACTGGGAATAGAAGAGAGAAACATGATTGGATAAGAAGATGTTAAGATCAATTTTGGACATTCTAGGCTTGTGATTTCTATTGGTCAGACATTGATGTGGAAATGTAAATACTAGTTGGGTTGGGGAGAAGGAAATCTGAGAACAAAAGCAATATCTGCTTTAGTGAACTCTCTTTAAAAATTCTAAACTATTTAATCTTGGGAATTTGAGCCAGTTATGTAAACACATCACGCCAATCTAGTTTCTCACAAAGTGTTTTTCTCTTGCCTTTGTGGCAAAAAGACTGTTGCTCTTTGGAATCTCCTTCCCAGATACCTGCCAACTCTTAACAACAGAGTAGAAGGGGGGGGTAACCACTATTAACAAGTAATAAATGATATACAATAGCAAATCTGTGGAAAATACCAAAAAAATGAAACTCTCTCCTCTCAGCCCCTTTTCTTACCAAATTTGATTTTTAAAACTAACCTTAAAAAAATAAGATGCTTGAAGACAACGACTTGAAAACCATTTAAAAATCACCACAAATAAATTTTCAAGATTCAGTAGTAAAATATAATAACATTAAATCTGGAAAGGAAAGTAGAGAGCATTTAGTGAAAACAACCTGCATTGCATCTGACTCCAGGTCCAGTGCTCTTTCTACTCTGAGCTGCTGCTTACCAGGAGGTACCATCTTTTAAAAAATCAATGAATGATATCCCAAACATTTTGAAACATATGTCAAATTCAAGTCATAATAGTTAACATTTCACAGGAATTCAACTATTGGTGCTATACTTTATATATAATAATATATTGTCCTGTTATATATGTTAACTATTAAACAGACAAGGAATTATGAATCTTTTGGCATACAGTATTTCTCATTCAATGGAATCTATCATTTCCACAGTTTCAAAGAAGTATAGAAAGGTACTAGGGTAGTTTGGGTTGTGAGCTGGGACATGAACAAATAACTAAATTAAGTTATTTTTACATATTCTGTAAAATAATACAGAACTGGATATTATAATATAATCACTAAAATTGAATTCTAACAGTTCAATAACTTCTGGTGGATTAATTTAAATAGTCCCTCATACAGTGCTGTACCAGTATTTGATTTGTATACAATTTGTTGCAATGCACTTGGTTTTACTTGATTGTTAATGAGAAATACTACTTCAAACTGCTCTTGTGGTTTTGTCCATGCTTAAACTTATTACTTTTCACCCCTCACCCTTCTGAAATCATTATCCTGAATTAGTCTTTCTTAGGCATTTATTTTCTGAAAATCTCATGAAGAAAACATTAGTATTGTCTTGGTGACTTACTGACAACAATAAATGGATATAAAAAAGAAGTGTATGATTTTCTCTTTCTAGACTGTACCACACTGATTTTCCCACAGTAATATTGAGCAGCTATGTGGATGGAAAACTTGACAACTGACAGCCTATTAATTTAAGACTTTTTCTAATCCCCCCAGACCTTTTTTCAACTCTTGGGGTTTAGCCACAAGAGAATGAAACTAAGTGCTGTTTCATTCTGAGCATTATTCCTTTTACAGTCTCAATGCTCTGGTTTTTCAAAAGACTACTTTGGCAGAGTAAACTTCCTTTCTTCATCAAGGTTGAGTCCAGGTATAAGTCATTCTATGTATTTGCATAGGAGAGGAATACTAAGAGAAAGTTTGAAGTGGAGAGAAGAAAACAAAATCCAAAAGAAACTTCAATTGTTTGATGAAAGATTGACTAAGTGACTTTAGTGCACATCTGGCCACAAACTGTCTTCCAAAGCAAATCTCTAGTGGTAACTGTAATTAATGACAGAAATACTTCCAAACCCTTGTTTTACTCATAGACGAGGCTGCAGTAGGAATGCCTTCTTTCCTTGGAAGCTGCCCTGGCCTAAGGTCTACTAGGCTGATATGGTTTGATTGGGGGGAGGTCCATGATCCCAAATATATTTCCCCCATCTAGGTTTTTTGTTAGAATCATTTTCCTTACTGACTTCCTCTTAAAATATTCAAACATGATAAAGTAATTTAACCGAATCATACAGAAATGTGATTTACTCTATGACTTTATCCAGGCAGAAAATAGAGGGGTGTGTGTTAAGAAGTGGGGGAAAAATAGGATGGGTGAAAACAAATGTCAAGGAAAAAGGAGTTGAAAGGCTACATAGTCCTGCCTATTTCACAAAGTTCTTTAGTTTCAGGGTAAGAGGGAAGAAAAGCTGAGAGTGGGATCCAAACGGTTTAAGAAGAATGTGACAGGCTCTCAGTCTAGCAGCTTACTCTTCAAGATGTACTTCCTTGCAGACTTCTGCATGGGCATAGATAGCATCAGTCAGGGTTCCAACAAAAAATAGTATTGGGTTGGCCAAAAAGTTTGTTTGTTTTTTCTGTAAGATGGCTCTAGTAGTGCTCAGTTGTCTTTAACTTCATTCGAAACAATTGTGTTAGATTGTATTGTGACAGCTGTCATATAAGCATGCACTTAAAGTTATCAAAATTGGTGAATTTTTGAGTACCCATTTTAATATTGAAGATGAAAGAAAATATGTAACATTTTGGTATATAATGCTTTATTATTTCACAAAAGGGAAAATGCAACTGAAATGCAAAAAAAAAAAAAAAAAGATTTGTTCAGTGTATGGAGAAGGTGCCATGATGAATCAAACATGTCAAAAGTGGTTTGCAAAGTTTCCTGCTGGGGATTTCTAGATGGACAAAGCTCCATAGTCCGGTAGAACAGTTGAAGTTGATAGTGATCAAATTGAGACATTAATTGAGAACAATTAACATTATAGCACATGGGAGATGGCCAACACACTCAAAATATCCAAGTCAATAAAGTTATTGGTGAAAATGAAAAGTGTGTCTTTTATTTTATGGAAAAAACTAAGTGGACTTTTTGGCCAACCCAATACCCTTGGTGAAATGGAAAAATTAAAAGAGGGGTTATTTACAAACAGGTTACTTATAAATGTATAGGTGTAGGGAACCACAAAGAATAGCACAATAACCCAAGCTAGCATAAGCTCAGTTCTTACCTTCCCTAGACCCTCAGGGACAGGGATAGGAAGTGCTTCCCAGAGCCTGAAAAGACTGAGTTTAGTACAGTTGACTACCTTGAGAGAAGTGGTGACCTTGTGGAAGGACTAAACTAATCCAAGGTGACCTTGCAGTGAGGGAAACAAGAGAATAAATCCCTTGGTTTAATTTTTCTCCTTCCCTCTGATCTCCTGATGATAAATTTGCCAAACCCAACCAAAAGCCAGAGGCAAGGAAGATCACTGATGTTCATATAGGTCAGCCACCCAAGGAAGAAAGCAGAGTGAAGGGTATAGAGTGCATTTGGAGGGGCAAACAGGTGATATCTAAAACAGCCACCAAGTGGTGGTACCATGGGCAGACTTCTTGGAGCCTGGTACATTGCTGGATACATCTGCTGAACCAGCTCCAGTGATTGGCCAATTTTATCTTCATGCATACTCTGCTCTCTGGCTATGGGGTCAGTAGCATTAGGCTTTTGCATTATAAAAACTCTTTTCTCTAATCTTTAATAGTCATCTCCTTTTCAATCCTCCTTCATACTTTCTTTTTTTCCCTGATTTATTGTTAATTTTATTTCTTTTTTTTTTGCCTTTGTTATTTTCTTTTTTTAAGATTTTTAAAAATTTTATTTAGTTATTTTTCAAGTACAGATTTTTGTCTATTTTTCCCATCCCAGCCTCTCCCTCCCCTTGCTCCCCACCTCCCTCCCTTTTCCACCCCCCTTAGTTCTCGTCCCTGTGTCCTTCCTATTTGTTCCTCCAAATCCCTCCCCCTTTTTCCCCTTAACTTCCCATCCTTCTTCCCTCTG